TTCCCTTTCTTTGTCTCTGTCCTGGTCTCTCTCCTTCTCTTTGTCTCGGTCTCTCTCCTTTTCTTTGGCCTTTTCTTTTTCCTTGACCTTTTCTTTGTCTCTTTTCTTGTCCCTGTGAAAAGCCAGACACAAATAATGAATTTATCTTTGAACTTTCCAATAAAAATTACAACTAACTCTTTAGCATACATTAATTATTCAAAAGAAACGATGTGTTTAATTTTCCTCCCCTGTTCACCATGAGAGAGAGGCTATATAGGTAGGAAAAATTTGGAAACCAAATTGGGGAAGGGGAGGACCAAAATAAAATTGTGATCTTCAACGTGTTGTTATTACACTTTGAAATATTACGTCTTTTCATCTAACAACTACATTATTATACATAAATAAATTTTCTACATTTTGTCAGGAGTGAGACAAACTCAACAATTTGTAAATCCATTCTTTAGTAAAAGTGTGCCCATGTAAAATGAACTGCAGACTAACTACCCCCACATAAATAATGACAGTTGACTGGACGGAAGCCTTTATTCTACAGTATTCTCTCACATAAATATCCTGGAACTGCTTTGAAGTCCAACATCAATTAATACAGAGAAACAAAAAAAAAACAGGGATAAAATTTTACCAAATTTCCTCAAAAGGCAAATGTAAGGTCAACACTCAACCAAGACAACCAGACAGAGAAACAGGAGAAAGCACAAGAGAAGTTGATCAGCAGGCCTTTTCATGTCCAGGAGAACCAGACTGACAGAAGTTACTCTGTCTATTGATATTGGTACCTATTCTGGGATTTTTAAAGATTCTCAGAGACTCCTTCAGACATGAAAGGCCCAATGCACAGTCCCCACCTTTCTTCATTGGAACAAGAGTTTGGCTACTAGTAAATAGTAGGCTTGTTTCATGGTTTGTGACCTGAAGACTTTGGTTCCCATCAGGTTTTGGCAATAACCTCTTTAGATGTCTCACAAAGGAATGTAAGATCATAAAGATGAAACAGCACACAATCCCTGCAATAGTAAGAGGTCTCACAATGACCCAAAAAGTGCCTGCCAGTTATCTATCACAGAGATTTCATTGGACTTGCCCCTTCCAGTGAGCAAATATCTCAAGACACTCCAGACAACAGCAACAGAGTCAAAAGGATCCATCAATGAAGCCCAGCGATGTAGCCTACTCCTAACTGTTCCCACTGAGGTCCACAGATCTGCAGTTCTCTTTCCCACAAAAGTGCTTCCCTAGAAATCTAAAAGGTTTGTTAGATTTTTTCAAAAACTTTGTACTGTGTACTAAGAACTGTATCATTTTTAGGAATGGAACTCACCAAGAACGAGAGCGACTTCTTGATTTCCACCTTTCCCTAGATCTAGGCTGTTTTTTCAGGGGACTTCTCGATCTGTGTCTGTCCTTGTGCCTTGAGAGCAATCTGTTGCCAGATCTATTTCTATATGAAAAATGCCAGAAGAAAAATACTTTTATATTGAAACTTCATAAAAATTAGGTCAACCAAGAAGGGAAAAAACCCACATAAATCTTGTCTCACTATATAAAATTATATAGAGTTACAATTCAGTAATATACTGCTCACCAACATTTTTGTAAATATGGACACTTTAAGCTTAACCAGGTGCACAATGCACCATTAAATTAATACTCATGTTTCGTAATAACTTCCATAAATATTCTGGAAAATATAAATTCATATCATATTAGGATAGCCATCCTTAATAAATCTAGTGCATAAATCTACTACAGACAATTTCTAGCAGCTTGTAAAAATAATTAGTTATGTTTTTCTTCTGTTCCAAGGCACTTATTGCAGTCTTGGTCAATGAAGAAAGATGGCTTTAACTGTTCTCTTTGTTCTCCAGCCTTACAATTTAATTTAATGCGTTTTTTTAAAAAAAAAACCACTATCTGTGGTTCAGCATTTAGTCAAGCTACCTTTTTAGTTGAAAGGATATGTTAGTACAGTTTTGAATTATGAGTTCTCAAGAAAAGGAATAAGCATTTACTACATGATAAATAAAGACTGCAAATAATGTGCAGATACTCCAATAGAAATCCTATTAAAGTCTTCTAATAAACATATATAGCATAGTCTCAGATTTAATGAAGAAATCAAAACTTTTAAAAATTGCTATACACTTTTTTACCAAAATATTCCCTATATTTGGAAGATCATATTCCCTAGAAAAATAAACAGCTGAATTTTAACATTAAGTTTCAAAAGAACACATCATTGGATACTTTGCCTGACAGTTTAAGGTATGATTAAGTTAAACTTACCAAAAACAGAAATTAATGTATATTACTCAATAAATCCTGAAGAATAGGGAGATAGAAAAAAATAACAGCTCCACCTGTCTTCTGCAGCTCAAGACACACGGAGTAAGATAAACCAAGAGAGGAGAGGCAATCATTTTTTACCTACAGCTTTGCTCCACATATCGGTGTAGAAATACAAACTAATTACAGGGAAAATTAATTACAATTTAGTCCAAATAATACCTTGAATAAATTTCATATTGCAGAGATGAAAGCAATTTTGGGGTTTAATTAAACAGTAAAACTGGAAAGTGGTACGGACAGTTTATTCTTAGGGATTAAGTTGCCTCAACAGATCAGACTGGTCTTTTTTTCAGCATGCTCTCAAAAACTGACAGTAATAGTGAAAAAATAATTTATATATATATATAAATAATATATAAAACTATCAACAGTTGTTTAAAGCACAGGTTTTCTGCAAGTAAAAAAAATGCAAAATTATCTTCTAAAAATCTATTTGGTTTGTGTCAGTACAAAAAAGCACTGAGATTATTGCAGTGTTACACAAAACAAAGACTGTTTTTCAGTTATGTCCTAAGTTAGAGAAACAGAAGAGAAGCAAGCAATAATGAAATGAACAAATTAATTCTTCTTGCGTTAAAAAGGTACCAAATATTTTAATGCCATTAGATAACACGTACTGTGTAACATCATTACAAAACTGAAGCCTGCACTTATATAGTATTTGGTAGTATATCTGATGTGGTGTGTCCCTCTGGCCAGCTTTTCTGTATGTAAAAGAATTCTAGTTGCCCCTTTAAAAGACAATAGATGAAAGAATGCAACAGTGCTGTCACTGCAACACCAACAACATTCACCTTTTTAAAGTGTAAGCTAACAAATACATTTTCAGTTGTTTGGTTTTTTTACACTTAATGTAGCCAAATTTCTTTAGATTGATCATGTAAATGATCAGAAGACATTCCTGACATTGAACCATTTCAGGAAGGATAAGTCTCACATAGCAAGACTGTCTCATTATTGGAAAAAAAATCTGAATGGGTAAACTTTAAGAGTGACCTACTAATTTTATTTCCTCCAATAGTTCAAAGCCTGTTTCAAAACTGAACAAATTAGCAAAGCAAACAAACCCCGAAGAATGAAAAACTGTCTCTAAAGCCTTTTTCTTCTGGCTTTTAGAAAATATAACTTTACATTTAAAATACAGTAAATAAAAACACTGCATTTGTTAACTGGATGTTTAGAAGTTCAGAAGGAACTTTCTACTAGCAAAACCAGCCAACCTATCTGTTCAGAGTGTTAACAGTAAACTAAACGTACCATCTACAAAACACAGATAATTATTTATTTGTAAAATACAGATATAACAAAATGAAATTATGCTACCTTTCACAAAAAGTACCTTTTAGTGAGTTTTACCTGAAAGTAATCATGAAAACATTTAGCATTTAGAGGGAAAAAGTATCTCTTCAGAGACAAAGTTCATAGTTACTCTGATCTGGTCAGTGTAAGTTACTAATCTTTTCTACAGGGATACTTCTCATAACTCAGTAAGAAATCTTAGTAACCATCCTCACAAAAAAAAACCCCAAAACCAAACAACAAACAGTATGATCTCCTAGTCCAAAATAAAAAAAACATACCTACCTGTGTTTTGAGTGTGATCTTTTCCTTCTAGATCGGGATTTTGAGCTAGACCTGGATTCTGAACGAGAATGGGAACGAGATCGACCGCCTTTTCTTTCACTGCTCTTTCCAGACTCTGAGAGGAAAAAACCACTTTGCAGTGTGAGCTCAGAACATTTAAAGATCCCAGTTAACAATCTGGCACAAGTGGAATGTACCACATATAGTGCAAGGGGCCTACTCTTTGCATATCTTCCTTCTTTGCAAATATCCTTCAGAAACATCCAAGAAAGTCATTGCATATACTCGTTGAGTGCAGCCATCCTGCAGCAGTACACATAAACCAGATAATTATAAACAGCTAGATCTGTTAGGAGTGGGATTTATGTTGCTGCCACAATGCACAAGATTACAACATGCTCTCCTCTGGTATATTATGTAATATAACTATTTTTATTTTTTTAAATAACCTCAGAACAATAGAGTAAATGTGGAGAGCATAAATTTGAAAACAAGCCTAAAATGTAAATATTAATTAACACTTTCTATACTTTTAGATATTACAACCACTGTACAAATATTGAAGTCCTATTTCTCAAATACTGCTTTAGGGAAGGAAGGGATGGAGAGAAGGTGGTGAATAGTTTGATCCAAATGCCAGAAAGTCAACAAAGCTTACCAGTGACCTTAGCAGACTTTGGTTCAGACTCTAAAAGATTATTATTCTGCTACTTAACACTGATGAAATGTTAGAACTATTTTTCTCCCAATCCTAAAAAACAAAACAAAACAGAAAATACCGCCCCCCCAAAAAACAACACCAAAAGAAAAACACTATAAAAACCAAAAAAACCAAGCCCTCAAGACCCTCCACTATCGAACCTACTTAAGTCAATGTCTGGGTTTCTTAGTAAGAAGAATAACAAAATCTTGCTGATTAAAAGAAAAACGAGGATTTCAACTGTAAGTTTAATAAGTTGAGAATTTTTATGCTGTGGTTTTGCAATCAGCAGTCAGCATTTAAATGTCTGTCTAATCACTCAACCCACCAACACCTTCCTCCTTGACCCAGCATTTCAGTGTTAACAGGGATCAGGGAACAAATCTGGATGAAAAAAGTCCATTACAATATGTTAAGTTTTATTCCAGATTGATTCTCTGATCCCATTTGCTATGGCAATACACATAGTCTTGAACCAGCATGAAAAAGAGCATAGCAGTGACAAAATTAACCTACTGAAGAAAAGCAGCATTCTAGCTCCCTCTGATCATGAAACTGTGGCATTAATGGATGCTAGAGAACAAAACAAAATTTAAAGCAATTTTTTTCAATTTTGCAATTACTTTGAACTTTAAAAGCATCAGCTTGGTATTTTTTAAAACATTTGGTGAACATATATAAGATATGATTCTATGAAATAAAAAGTCAGCTTAATTCCACTGCTTTGTTGTATGAAGACAATTTTGATTATTTTATTTTTGACCACACATGTTGTTCACCTTTGAGTACTCTTCTCTTTTCCTGTGTTTGAAAGTGCTCTTAAAAGCATGTGTCAAGGTACATACAGAACATATCTGTTAGGTAATAAAGATAACATACCTACCTGGCTCAATAGCAGCAGATATAAAAGACTGGGCTTCCCTTACTCTCTTCATCACTTCTTCCAGTTCCTTGGCAGCAGCTTGTGGTGTCATTTCAGGAGGCTTCACTATTGCATTATTGGAATGATTTATTCTAAATTAAGGAAAAATAAAAAGTTTAACTCCAAAACACTTGAAAAGGGAAAATGAAAAACAACTCAACTTCCACAGATGACTAAAAACTTTAAGGCTCAGCAAAACTACTGATTTTTCCAAAAACTTATCTGTTCTATATATCTGAAACATCTATATTTTATTGCTTTCAAATCTTACCACTTTTACATAAATGTGACGCAATATTTCTGTGATAAAATATTTTTAGTAGAAATCTAGAAATTTGTTTCTGTATTTCAGATCAAATCTCTAAGATCAAATTAAGGCCTACTAATTACATAAACATCATATATGAAGCTTAATTAATAACAAGAACTTTGCAGATACTCTTACTGTTATGGTATTCACTAATTCAAGATTGGCCTTTGGAAAAGGAGGTTGGCAACCTATGAGGAATACCAAGATGTAGTGAAGCTATGCAGGGGGAAAACTAGAAGGGCCAAAGCTCAAGCAAAACTCAACTTGGCTGTTGCGGTTAAACATAACAAGAAGAGGTTTTACCAATACATCAATAGAAAAAGGAAGACTAGGGAAAATGTAGCCCCACTGATGAATGAGGTGAGCTCCCTAGTGGTGGAATACAGAGAAGGCAGTTACTGAATGCCGCCTTTGCTTTATTCTTCACTGCTAAAGCTGCCTCTCATGAATCCCAGACCCTGGAGGCAAAGGGAAAGGTCTGGAGAGAGGAAGACTTTTACTCAGTTGAGGACAAACAGGTTAGAGACCACTTGGCCAAACTGGACATCCATAAGTCCATGGGTCCTGATGGGATGCACCCACGAGCGCTGAGAGAGCTGTCAGATGTTATTGCTGGGCCACTCTCCATCATCTTTGAAAGGTCATGGAGAACAGGAGAGGTGCCTGAAGACTGGAGGAAGGCAAATATCACTCCAGTCTTCAAAAATGGCAAGAAGGGGGACCCAGGGAACTACAAGCCAGTTAGTCTCACTTCTGTCCCTGGGAAGGTGATGGAGAGACTAATTCTGGATGTCATCTCTGAACACGTTGAAGAACAGGAAGTTATTGGGAGTGGTCAACATGGATTTACCAAGG